GTCTCCTTATACTCAATGTCAAGTATTATATAATACTCTTTTGATAAGTCGAGCATAATATCTCTTAATTTCTTCCCCTTTGTTATGTCATTGTAAGACATCATGTATGCTTTATTGACATTACTTCTTCGTATACAAGGAGTATAAATCCCATGACATTTTATTCTGTAGGCGAGTTCATAACTGCCTCCAATGCGTCGTTATGATTTGGCCAATCATCTTGTTTTATATTCTTTTCGATCCTCATTTTTCATTCATCATATTGCGCGCTACAATATATACAAAATTCATTGTCAACGTTGACTTCCTTTTGATTCCATCAAATTTCATCCAAGATATAATTTATTGAGAGCTCTTTCATTTTCCCAAACAGGTACCTGTGGTTATACCAAACCAATAATTCTTGGAGAATAGAATTACAATATCCTCATTATAAAGACCATCTTTATTCTTAGCTCCCTTCTTACTTGAGGATTTGTATTTCTGGAACCGATAATTTTTTATCACACGTCATATGTGTATAATATATCCCTCTAGGATATTAACTTAGGAGCATTAGCAGTTGCTCGTGACTTAGTCACTTCTTTTTGGGTTAGTAACGATGCCTGGCAGTAGGCTAACCAATCTTGGCAAATGAATTATCTTTGAACTTCATGTTCACATTCTAAGTATGAGGATCATAATTCATTTCAACCAATTTGCAAATCAACTGCTTACCCTTTCTTTTTCTCCCCCTGATATTGGAAACATTGACTTGTTCATATAACAACGTCAATAAATATCATATAAAAATTCTAGTCTCACTAAAACAATTAGAGACTTCTTATGCAACTTCAGTTTCCAATTTTCCTTTGCAAAACCCATCTTTGTAAATTGTGGTGGATCAACTTACATCGTATATTGCACTTTCATAAATTCTCTGATGGGATATTTTAGGTCCTGACCAGAACCAATTATACAGGGGTTTATTAGTAACATCTTGTTGGCATGATGCAAAATCAGTGTTGCCGCATGTAAGATGACATGTCAGAGTGAGTGATTCATCGAGATCATTTTGTGCACACACATGTGCTACAAGATATTTTGTATTAATTCTAGTAACCACCAGTATTTGTCAAGACATATTTTCTTGATTGAACATTCATCAAAATGTGCCCATAATTGAATCAACTGAGCAATCAGTCTTGCAAACTTCAGGTTGCGGCTGAATATATGTGACCATTTAGTCGATGCATCGATTAAACTCATAAAATACCTAAATGGTCCACATGGTGTATTGGTTCACCAACTTGGCATTATATATGCTCATCGTATATAATATTCAAATTCTTACTTTCACTGGTGATGATCTCATGATCAACTTTCTTTGAGAACAAGCAGCACAAGATAAAACTATCTTGTTGAATTGCTTCAAATGTCCACATAAATTCTTAATTTTCTTTTGCATCATAATTAATCCGGGATGGCCCAACCGGTCATGCCAAACAATCAATTTATCACGTAATGTAAACTTCAAGTTTACTGTTGCATTTTCTTGATTGCTTCTTTCTTAAGAAAAATAATTAACCACGAGAATTAATCCGTTGTCTAAATCACAATAATATATATTATGAAATAATCTAAGAATGATACCAAAAAGAGACGAGGCTGAAGTGGTACGGCTCTATGACCTCACCTGGAACGTCGTAGGTTCGAGCTCCATTGACGCCAGATTTCGAACCCTATTCTTTTTATTTCACTGAAAGAGAACTGTTAGATAGAACATACAGCATAATATCAACTATGATTACCTGGTAAATTCGATATGCTTTTTGGCACTTTCTGTGTGTTATGGCGGCCGACATACACTACACTATCTATTTTCTTTTTCAAAATTTCAAACCACAATCTCTTCATATCTTCACAATCTTATCAAAATCTTACCACATCAATACAATTTTATCTAAAATCTACAACATCAATTTTTTTTTTTCAACATACATCCTTCTTTCATGGCTATAAAAACCACAACCTTCCTTCCTCTTCATTCATTCCATTCAAAACCGAAAATCACCCATCATCTCTCAATTCCATCATTCTTCTTCCCTTCTTGGGAACTCTTCTCGTTATAAGTCGCTTCAGGGATCTTATCGAGTTCGGGTGAAGCAATGGCGGAAGAAATTTCTTCCTTTCTAATCTTGATTTGGGTGTCATGGATCTTTATGATTTTCTTTCTCATTGCAATACTTATCTTGCTAGAGATACACTATCGCAATCATGAACGCTACGTTTCGATACTCAAACGCGAGGATCATAAGCATGACTAGATATTTTCTAGTCTTTGATCCATATATGGTAGTATGAAAAATGAGACTTAGATCTCAAATCATGTATGATGTATGAATGCTATGAATAAAGTGAAGTTTAAGTACTTCATTGTATCAATAAATCCAAACTTTACTTCCAGAAAGTTTGTGGTATATATTATATTCATCATCATTTTTGGAGTCAAGTCATAAACTGATCATTAACTTCATTGGATCATCTTATGAGTAATACCCCATGAATCATTATATCAAATGGGCGTATAATCAAATCCGGTGTGTCCCACCTTGGATAAGCCCTTAAATGCTTTGCCATAAAATCTTGAGGATATGATCACTTTATTCAAATGATTCTTGATTAAATCCATGAAACGATTCAACGTACAACTGGTACGTTATATGGACAATATCTTTGTCCCTTTCAATAAATTGTTGATTCAACTAATGAATCTATTTGACGTACAACTGGTACGATAACATTCTTGCATTTTCAATCACTGACCATATAAACATTTCACTTCTGGTGAATGTTATTACGGTTGGTATTATAGAACCATTTATCAATCGATATTTTGACATCGTCGTTTTTCACATTCACTTCCGGGAATGGAATTACGTCCAGAGGATTTCTCATAATTCGGATAACCCATTTATCCATAGGTCATTTGACCTTAGCTATTCACTTTAGCTTTTATCATTCTGGAACCTATCAATTTCAGGAATTTACTCTTATTTCTTTTAATTTGCTATCACTGTAACATAGCATATAACAATAATTGTAAGAGTAATAATAATACGATTAGTGTGTTAGAAAGTCAGTGGCATAGCGGTGCCCATCATTCAATATAATATCATATAAAAACAATAATAATAATGTCATGGGCTCCACAAATAGTATATGCATAGTAATTTTACTATTTGATGAAAGCGACGACCCTGCAACATTAAGTTAAAAAAAAAAACTGTGCAAATACTGTGCATAATGGCAAAATAGTTAAGGCTCTGTTTGTTTGAGCTTTTTATAGAAAAGATGGTATGCGTACATGATGATGAAAAATATCTACCTCAAAAACAATTTTTGACTTGCAGGACCTTGAGTAGGTAGAGCGCTCGTGCTGATAATTTTGGTAGATAGACGTATAGACTATGAAATAAGACAATATGAGATAGAATAGACAAAGTAGATACAAAATAGATATAAAACACTCTCTCTTTATTATCTTTCTACAGAGTATACACATAGAGAAATATTCTCTCTTCCTACTAATGTTTTTCTGAATAATTTCTGAAATCAGAAATCTCAGCTATTTATAGAAATGGAAAAGTCACTATGCAGAAACTATGCAGTCCTGTATACACGTTTTTGGGGACGGCTGCTTAATGAACAGCCAGCTGCCCTTCAATAATTCTCAACAGCTTTGTATAAATATAAAATTGTTCCGGTCACAATAATGGCACATGAAGGTGAGCTATCGCAGCGGCGGGGAACTTGCTTTTACATTCATCAAGTTAGGAGTTCCAAACCCATTAAATGCACATATTTACTTTTCAATTTTTATTCTCAATAATTGATAGATATTTTTTAAATTAAAATTTTATATGAATTAAAATTGATGTTATGAAAATATTACAAAATATAATTTTTTTTCTTTTTTGCTTAATTTTATTTTTTTCGCAGTAACAAATAAACCCCTTCGGAACATTACATTATGTCTTCGTTCCTGACTCAAAAATGAAATTGCATTTTCTGCACTTACAATTACAATTGGTAAATCAATAATAATTTTAGAATCATATAAACTAATGGATTCATAAATAAAACTTATGGGTATGATATATTCACTTTTGTAAGTTTGTCTACACGAAATAAGTTGTAAATATTTTGATTAACTCTAATCATCTAAAAATGCCAGTTATAATAATAGCAAAAAAATATTTTTATAATTTTATCCATTTTTCGAAGTAGTAGAATAAAAAAATTCGGTTCCCCAAATGTCAAATCCTGGCTTCGCCCCTGGGCCCACCGTAGGGCTCTTGGGCCCATTGTGATATTAGTAATATGAGATTCGTCCTTAATTGATCTTTATTGACATCTTCACGCAACTGTCACTAGGGGTGAACAAACACACCCGCAAACCGACTCACCCATCCAACCCTACCCAATCCACCCGTATGTTTCGCTAAAACGAAGGTTTTGGGTTGGGTGAGGGTTTTATTTTGTACAACCCGCCTATTTTGGATTACACAACCCATAGAACCCAACCCAACCCGTGCTCCAACTATTGGTATGAGTTCGTATCCAAAAAATATTTACGTCGTATATAGCCATACTTATGAGAAAATTAAGATATTTCGTCATGTTTTTCTCTCATGGTCTCACTAATCTAATGCATTCTTCAGCTTAAAGTTTAGACATAAAATTTAATATAGTAATGATTCACGTGATATTTTGTCATGTTTTTCTCTAATGGTCTCACTAATCAATTTTAATATAATAACATATTATGGATGCGTTCGTTTATAACTTTTTTAGCCTATTTCAACAAATGTCGTGAAAAAAACTAGGCATATGTTGAAATAAATCACATTTTATTTAAATTCAAAAAACATATGTGAATTTTGATACCTTTCACCTTGGTTTATTCGTTTGAAATTTTAATTAGTTATAAAATATTTTTATGGTGTAAAATAAATACTCGACCCAACCCAATTAGAAACAAACCGTAGGGTTTAATTTTTTGAATGAGTTTGAATTTAATATTTCTTAAACCATAGTGCATGATTCGAGTAATTAAAATGGCTAAACTTGAATCACCTGACACATGTACACTCTAACCGCCACATGTTTGATGCTTTTTAAACGACGGGATATCCGCTTGCCGCTTCATCATCCACCCACGTGACTTAATGGTTTAACATTTAAAGCCGTTGGATCGATCTTCCAGCTTGAGCCCCAAGTTTGAAGTAACGTGGAACGCAAACACGGAGCAAACTTCCTCAATTATAATTATTTATATTTATTATTTTGTAGCCTCAAAATTCATGAATTACTCTTCGATTTTGGATAAAGCCCGATAATTTGGTGGGGTTCTTTTTCATATGATCGGCTGCCAAAAGACCAACCGAGTCACCAGCTGTTAACAGAGTTTCGATCAAACTCGCCAGCATCTACTTCTTCAGCCTCCTCGTCTTCTCCGCTCCCTTGCTTCGGAATCGTTTCATAAGGTATGCGCTTTGGGATTTCTTCTAAAAGTTTCTGAATTTGCTGTGTTTCTGTGGAACGATTGATTGAATATCCGACGAATTAGTTCACTTTCGATTTTGACTTCGTGCTGCTTAAAATTGTTCGCTCCTTTTGGATGAGCGAAGCAAGTGGAAGAACATAATCCCTGGCTTGGTTATTGGGGGTACTTAGTTTATTGTTATTCTAGGTGGGTAGTCAGTTAATTGAGATTCTGGCCTGGAATGGAATTGTATGTAGAACTCGGAAGTAGAAACTTTTCAGGGTTTTGTTTGGCTGGAGGAAGTTTTGGGCTGACTAATTACTTACTTTTGTTTTGATGAGGTGCAGGAAGGGAAGAAGGGATGGCTAAGAGTTGCTTCAAGCAAGAGCATGACCATGGTATGTCTTTGAGTTGAGATTGTAGATACGTCTGTTCTTGTGGGTTTTGACAATCAAGTGCTGCTGTGTTTCTTTGCAGAGAAGAGAAAAGCTGAGGCAGCCAGGATTAGGGAGAAATACCCAGATAGAATTCCGGTGAGAATTCTGGCGTGCTGTTCATGAATGATACTTTGGAGTTAAATGTGTCTTCTGTTGTTAGACTTATATTCACTTAACTGTTCTGCACTGCATTCATGGTTTATTAACCCTTTACGGGGGGAGAATGTCATGCTGTTTAGTTTCTGCTCATTCTGGTGATATTGCGGGCGACGAAGATTCATTTCAGCCAGTGTACGTTTGTTTGCCACACTAGATGGGACTATTCTTGCTCTAGGATATGCTTAAATTATTTCAAATTGAAGCCTGCTCTAAAGTGCCTGAATAATCAAATGAGAAATATTTGTCTTCGTCTCTAAATGGTTGCTAACTTCCTTTTTTCCACTGTTCTTCTATTGTGTTGAAGGTCATTGTGGAGAAGGCAGAGAGAAGCGAAATACCAAACATAGATAAGAAAAAGTACGGATTACAATTGACGATGCTCTCTTCTGGGTTGTTTTGATCTCCTGATTCTTATTCATGCTGATGGATTCATGCTTTCACATTATTAGAAATCTCTTTAGCTTCTACTAGAGCGCCTGTTCAGTATACTAAATGACGCTTTCTGCATTAGCAGGTACCTTGTCCCTGCTGACTTGACTGTTGGACAGTTTGTTTATGTTATCCGAAAGAGGATCAAGCTGAGTGCTGAGAAGGCAATATTTATCTTCGTCGACAATGTCCTGCCACCAACTGGTTAGCAGTTACTACTTCACAATTTGCTATCAATATTATGCAGTTCTGATTTTTCCCCTTCCCCTGTGTCACTGTGGCCTTTATCCAACATAGGTGCCATCATGTCTGCTATATATGAAGAGAAGAAGGATGAAGATGGGTTTCTGTATGTCACTTACAGCGGTGAGAACACCTTTGGGACGGAGATTCAGCAGTAGAGCCAAGCCAAATTGTTGCAGAGCTCCATAAGTTTCACTGTTTATCTGGCTCAGTTGCTTGTTTAGGTTTGGGGATGATGTTCATTTAATATATGAACACAGCTCGGTTGTGGAGACACTTGTGCATAGGGTATATCTCTCTCTCTTGTATAGACACTTTCAAGAACTTCTCTTCTCTTTCTCTAATTGAATATTTATGTCGAAAACATGACTTGGCCTCTCCCTGGTGTTTGGCATAATGATTATCAAGATGGAACTGAATCACTTTCTGCGTTTGTTTTAGTTACTTGAAAAGAAAGAAGAAACACTATTATTCCTTGTGTGCTGTTGAGTTTTCTTCACAAGCGTCTTATCTTAAGTTGAACTCAGTTGCGGGCCGCTAATGGAGGCTCATACGGGCTGGCCCAGTCTGGTCCCAGACTTTGGATCCCAGAATTGCCCTGTCTCCTGGTCGCTTTGGCATATTCTCATTCTCGGTTCTCCATACATCAACATTCATCTAAGGTTTTGATTCTTAACGCAATCATTTTAGCTTGGTGGGGACTGGTCAAGAACCAGCTTAACTAGGGTTATTTACGTATATGTTAGTTGTTGGAAAGTGATAATGATCTTTTTTACTTGTCGTAACACATTAATATTTTACATGATATCACCACAACCATGGTAGATTGACTATGTTTAAAGGAAATATATCAGTATACATATGTTATATCCTTATTCCTAGAACGCTACAGCCTACAATATATGAAATATGGAGATCCATGACATGGGTTGTGGGTGACGAGATTGCTTTATTGTAAAGGTAGACTTTTTCATATCAAATCCAAAATAAAAAGGACAAAGTTGCATTTCCAAGTCGCGGATTATTGAGTCCTACCTCTAATCATATGACTTTCAACTTTCCGAAAAGAAAAGTGGAATTCATCATATGACTCATATTTCCAAAGCGAAAAAGTGGAATTCCCTCTCGTCAATATTTATGGGTCGTTTGGTTTTGGTGATAGTTTGGTTAAGTCTCCAAAACAAATGGGAAAACCTCTCGTATCATTATAGGGTGAAATTTAGGACTCCTTTTAAATTATGAGGTTTTTGGAAGAAAAAAAATCATGGGATTTGTGATGGATTTATTGTATTATGAATTTGAAAAATGTATTGTTTGCATGATAGGTTTCATAATATCCTCCAATTAGGGGTGGCTATACGGTCTGGTCCGGTTAAATTGACCCGAATTGATTCGGCTTCAGTCCAGTCTTTTCGGGAATATAAGGACCAAAGATTGGATTGGATACAGTTCGGTCCCAATTCGGTCTTGATTTTAGATTGAGTTTGTGGGAATTTGAGTTGTCTGAGGACTCAAAGGGTGAGTAGTTGGTTAAGTTTTGGGTGTTAGGCTATCTTATCCGGTCTTTATCCGGTTTTCGATCCGGTACCAAACGGTTTTTTACCTCAAATCTAAGCCTGAAAATTGGATTGTATTGTTTGCTATCCGGTTTCGGTCCCGATCCGGATTATACGGTCCGATTTCAAATAAAACCAAAGAGCTCGAACCAAATAGCCCTCCCTACCTTCCCATATATATAATGAGTTTCTTGCTCAGCACCTACCGAATTAACATTTTCATGACCTCCCCGCAAAGCAAGAAAGCCCTTATAAGTCTTTTTGCATCTCAAATTTCGGTGCATGAGGTACTATGGTCAACTCACACAACTGGACATATCACTTGGGCTTTCCGTTTCCTTTTCCACAGCCCACCAAATTATAGAACTTATAATTACAAATCAACATAAATTCTATGGCTAAATTACACGTTTGGTCACTCAAATTATACAAATCTTTCACGTTTGCCACCCGAATTATTTTTCTTTCTTATTCGCCACTAACTTTACGAATGATTTCACGGTTGGTCACCGGCCGTTACACTCCGTTAAGTTTGTCCTACGTGGCAGTCAACTATAAAGTTTGACCGTTAACTAGATGACGTGGAAATTAAAAAAAATAAAAAAAATAAAATTTTATTTCCACCTCATAATTGCACTTATTTTATCTATATAATTTATCATTTTAATAATTTAATAAAATTTAATAAATTACAAAAATGGACAAATCCAAATGCTCATCATTCTCACCCTCACCATCCACTCCATCGTTCAATCTCCGGCTCCCCCACCGCCTGCGGCATCGTCTCTTACCAGGCCACTCAGAGCATCGTTTGTTTCAGACCACCAGGAGCCGGCGGCGGCGAGGGAGGAGGAGGGTATCTGCAACCACCACCACCACCACCAATCGTAACGCTTCAACCAAACATCTCCTTCTCTTCGATCTCCGACGGGCAGGATTTTTTCTGCGAAGTCCGTTCCGGCGGCTAAGCTCTGCTCTGCCAGGATACATTCTCACCGGATAACAATTCTGCCATTCCCAACCAAGTCAAGCAAATCTATTTCAACACCTCGGTTCTGTTACAGAGCGTGTCTGTTGGTGGTGATCGGGTTTGCTCGACCACGGCGGAGGCCGATGGGGATTCGGATTTGGATTCGAATTCAGGAACGGTGAGAGCCAATTACAGCTGCGCTCTTCGTCGGAGCAATGGGTCGGTGGTTTGTTGGGGTGGAGACGGAGGGCTGGGGGTCAACGGGATCGAAGGAATCTTCTTCGAATCCATCGTCTCTGGCTCGAATTTTCTCTGCGGCATTTTGTCGAACAACTTGTCGACAATTTGTTGGGGACCGGATGGCCCAGTGCAGGGTCGAATTCGAATTCACAACTCTTCCAGGTACTTCCTTTGCCTGCGATTCTGCCAGGTCCTTGCGTCGAATCATCTTCCTGCGGTGAATGCGGCGTGTATGGAGATTCTCAGAACTGGTGCGGCGGTTCAGGGGTAATCTGCAGGCCGTGTGGGTTGAACCCGATGGAGTGGATGGTGAGGGTGAGGATGATGAACATTTGGATTTGCCCATTTTTGTAATTTATTAAATTTTATTAAATTATTAATATGATAAAGTATATAGACAAAATAAGTGCAATTATGAGGTGGAAAGAAAATTTAATTATTTTATTATTTTTAATTTCCACGTCATCTAGTTAACGGTCAAACTTTATAGTTGACTGCCACGTAGGACAAACTTAACGGAGTGTAACAGCCGGTGACCAACCGTGAAATCATTCGTAAAGTTAGTGGCGAATAAGAAAGAAAAGTAATTCGAGTGGCAAACGTGAAAGATTTGTATAATTTGAGTGACCAAACGTGTAATTTAGCCTAAATTCTATCAAGAGTTTCAAATGCATTTAACACATATACATGTATTATAAGGATATTAAACATACTTTCACTAATATCTTGACATTAATCAATATGCATACAATTATATTGTATAAAAAATGAAGTTTCGTACAGTTTTTCGATTTAACAATTCAAGAATATGATCATTTTCACTCGGAGATAAACTTATATGTTTACCTCGATTTTAAAAGAATTTGGTCTAAAATTTAATTTCTAATATCATTGCTTTCTTCTCAAAGAATGATAACTGTTAAACAAAATGATAATTGCATGAAAATTGACATTTCTTAGCAAGTTTGAGCCTCTAGGGTTTTCATATTGTAATAAGTGAATAAATATTTTTACACTTAGTTACTCAGTCAACGAACAATGACCGTTTAAGAAAATTGGTTATGAAGTTCAACTCATCTATGGATGTTCTAACACGTGGCAAACTAGCTTATATTTATAAATTTTGATTTTAAAATCACTTGATTTTATTAAAGTTCTAAGTTTCAATTCGAGTATAAGAGATGTGCTGTGAAAATAAATTTATGAAGCATAATCGTTGCTCAATTTAATAAATTCTTACTAAGACTATTAATACTATGCATCTAAAATTATTTTATCTTTATTATAACAAATGAGATCAAGCTCCTATAGTCAATTCGAGAATCATCCTCACTAAAGCTTATATTGCTCTTCTAATTAATGAATCTCAATTATTAACATTTTTTATACTTAAGATCCAACTTTAATTGAGAATACTAGCCAATCAATTACTACATTTTTCATATTTACGATCCAACTCGAGTTGCGAATACTACCAAATATGAAATTGTTGTATTGGATTGTTAAGAAGTTGGGATTTCTTAGAATTACTCTCGTCCGTGATAACTTCTGCGGATTTCCGTGAACTAACAGACCGATCACTAAGCGGGGATGGTCCCTGTTTGAAAAGTTATTAACAAATAGTGAAAGAAGGATACCTCCTCTCCCTCATGTCATAGTGAAGAATGAAGTGTTTACAAAAAAACAAAAAGATAAGAAGCAAAAATGAAGTTGAATTTCCATATTAATTTTAGTGATTACTTCACAAATTCCATAACCAAATTAACAATATCGAACATAATTATTGATGGAAAAAATGAATCTCCAACATCTGTTGCAACTATAATGAGAGAAATTCTTTTGTTGGGAAGTACTTATCAATGATGAATATAGTGGAGTTGATGATGAAGATTGTTGATGGTTAAGAGGTGATACCAATTATTTTGTTACACCTACAATGTTGGCCAGTGGCGGATCCAGGGGTGGCCACCCCGGGTCACGACCCAGCCCTCCCCTGGGTCGGTAACTAGTATAGTCCTTATGAGTTTATCGATTTTAGCCATTTGGGCGAGTGTTATTTTATAATAAAATTGTTTGTAATTAGGAAAATGGGTAAGATGAACATATTCAAATCACAACTCTAAATTTAGCCTGAAAATTCTAGCTCCAATATCTCGTATAAAGAAAAGCAAACTATGAAACCTAAAATTCTAAAACGTAAAAGACTAAAAGAAATATGAGGTTTATTCCCTTAAGAAATTACTAGAGCAGCTTTTGAAAATAAGAATTGATACACAATATATATTAATTAGTCGATTGTGTTGACATTTCCGCAACAAAATGAGCGATGAATTCCTTGCCAATTGGTTAACTATTTTATCTTAAAGAGAGTATGCTATTAATGTGAATGTAAACTCCATTATTGATGAATTCACTATATTAAAATTTAAAAGATCGACGTGTACAATTGATATTGTAAAAAAAAACTGTGATTTTTTTACAGTATCTAATTTTTTAATGAAATGCGGCCCAGTGCTATACTGTGTCTTGATCCGCCGCTGATGTTGGTAATTTAATGATGGATGCACATTTTATCTTTTCTAGGAATTAAATAATTTGAATTGGATGAATTACACATTTGGTCACTCGAATTATACTAATCTTTCATGTTTGCCACCCGAATTACTTTTCTTTCTTATTCGTCACTAACTTTACGAATCGTTTCACCATTAGTCACTGGCCGTTATACTCCGTTAAATTTGTCCTACGTGGCAGTCAACTATAAAGTTTGACCGTTAACTAGATGACGTGGAAATTTAAAAAATTAATTTATTTATCCAACTCATCATTCCACTTACTTTGTGTATATTATTTATCATATTATTTATTTAATAAAAGTTAATTAAATTATAAAAACAAATAATATGATAAATTTATTCTCCACCAGTTAATATCCGACGGACGAGATTGCCGCGGCCACCGATCTCGATCCATCCTTGGTGCCGTTCATCTTCTTCTACCTTGCCACCGGACCATCCAAATCACAGAATCGAGAGGAAGCAAAATCAAGAAGAGTCAGCTTGGAATTCATGAACAACATTATTTATCCAAATAGTTTCCAACAAGATTGAACAAAGTTGGCTCGATGCTTTCGAGCAATCAGCAATTGAGAAATTCCAATTCCACAGCCAAACTAAATCTCAACGAATTGCGAAATAGAAAAAGGAAAAATCAGAACTGTAGTCTGTAGCTCGTTCGGT